TGGCCGCAGTCCCTGTCACAGTGTCCCGAGTGGCCGCAGTCCCTGTCACAGTGTCCGCAGTGGCCGCAGTCGCTGCCCGAGCCCGGCACGGCCGGGGAGCGGAGCAGCAGCCGCAGGAGCAGCCCCGGGAGCGCCGGGCCCGGCCCGCCCCCGCCGTCATGAGAGGCTGGGCCGGGCAGAGCCGAGGGATCCCCGGGACTGGGACAGGGACCGGGATCGGGACAGGGACCGGGACAGGGACTGGGATCGGGACAGGGACTGGGATCGGGACAGGGACCGGGACAGGGACTGGGATCGGGACAGGGACCGGGATCGGGACCGGCACCGGGACAGGGACTGAGATCGGGACAGGAACCGGGATCGGGACCGGCACCGGGACAGGGACTGGGATCGGCATCGGAACCGGGATCGGGACAGGAACCGGGACCGGGACAGGAACCGGGATCGGGAGCCGCTCCCACCGCGGCCCCGCAGCCCAGAAAACCCTTTTCTGGATTTTGTTCTTTCAATCAAAAATCCCGCCCAGGCCGCCGAGAGCAGCGGGACAGGAGGGGGCGAGACGGGAATAAACTCCTGGGTTGCTGTGGAATCCTTTCCTTTCACCACCTCCATCCCCAAGGACAGCGCACAGCTCCCCTCCCTGCTGAGGGGAGCTCAGGGATTTACACATTTATACACGAGCTGCTTCCTTTGGAAACAAGATCTTCTTTCAATGTACCTTAATTACCACTCGGTGAAACTTCAGGCAGGCAGGCTTTACGTCTTTAGGAATTTATTTTGGAGCGTGATGCTTTCTGCATGTTCTTCACAGCAACTTGCATTTCCCCTGCACACAATCTGACACCGACAGCTTTTAAACCCTATTGTTATTGCAGGCTTTCTTTAGCTACCATCTGACCCCGCAAAAAAACCCCACGAGACAAAGCTTTGTCAAGGCTGCATTCCCAGTTGTTGCTTTTACACATTCTTGGCTTCCTCCTCGTTCCCTGCTTTCCCTTTTCCCGGCACCTATCCGAGACACGCAGACAAACCCCGGCAGCAAACACTCTGCCTGCTGAGTGCTGCTTTTATTCTGAGTGATGGATGTGGCTCCACAACACAGTTAATTTAAAATCTTGCCAGACAGAGAATCGAGATAAACCCAGAACTTGCATTTCCACCGACTCGTGGCTGTGAATCAGATATTCCTTTCTTCTCAGTTCTAAAAGAAATGGCTTCTCAGGTCATCATAAATCATTGAAATAAAAACTAAGAAATGGATCTTTGCCTTAACAATCAGAAATAGGACAGGCAGAGGATTTTCTGCTGGGTCTCTCCCTGTTTTCTAACATCAGAGTATGGGAAGTTTGCACACAGAAGTCACCACTCGACAGCAGGGCATACTCGCAGTTTGTGCTCCAAAACTGAGCAACAAAAGGCAAACGATTCTTACAAAAGATTCCCATCACTTTCCATTTTCTCACACCCCCAGGGCTCTCTGTGGCACTCCTGTCACCTGATGTTGTCACCTCCTCACTGCAGGCCAGGGGAGCAGCTGGCTCTGCCTAAACACACATCCCTCCTCCAGCCCCAAGCAATCTGCAGTTGCCCAGAGAACAGAAATATTTGGAAACTGCCCAAAGACACATCTCAATTCAAAGGCAGCATTGTCTGTAGCTCAGCAATAAAAATCTAAGGAAGTCACTTGTCGTACAGCAACGCACACAATGAAAATTCTCCTTTCAGAATTTCACCTTCAGATGCTTTTTACAGCACAGGGAGATAAAGCAACATGGTATTTGGTAAAAAGACACAGAAAATCTTTTTTAATGACTGGAATTCACCCCACCAACTACTAAAAGAGCTTTCTGACACACAGGCTGCACTCTGCATCTTATAAAGCACTGGGTGAGCTGTAACTACATAAATTTACCTCCACTGGGAGACAGAATGTACTGATATAACCTTTTAATTTTTTTTTTTTTTTTAATGGCTTCAACAAGAAGTTTTTACTTTGCCTTTGCAGCTGGGTAGGAAGCTGGGCTGAGGCAGAGTTCTCCATTAACTGGGAACCTGGTCATATGCCTTGGGGCTTTTAAGTGATGATTAGGAGCTGAGACCCCACAGCACCTCTGCATATCACAGACAGAGCCTTCACAGCGCCTGCTGCTCTCCTGGATCTAGTGCCACATCAGTGAGACACTTTTATCACAGATGAAGACACTCCATGGGAAAAGCAGATGAGCAGAAGTTCTGCTCTGGCTCTGTTTTACTCCCCTGAAATGCTCAAAGCCCAGCTCTGGGTTGGCCAGGGAGGAGAGCCTGGGTTTCTGCTCAGCCTGGAGCCCTGTCTCACATCCCAGCTGTGGGCACAGGCTGGGAGGAAGAAAAGCCTCTGCACCATTTATAGCTCTTTGTTTCTCATGTCTGAGCTGAGAGAATCCTGCCTTTCCCACTCTCACAGAGGGAGAAACAGCCTCTCACTCCCAGTCCCAGTGGCCCCAGTGTCCCCAGTGGCCCCAGGCAGCCCCACAAGAGGTCCCTGCTGCTCCGGGGACAAGGATGCTTCTCCCATCATCACCATCCTGCTCTCTCCAGCTCCTCTCCAGCCTCCAAGAGCAGCACAGGCACCGTGCTCACCTTTTGCTGTGCTCAGCACAGCTCAGAACCTTCAGGCAGGAGCCTGGAAAAGAAGTTGAGTCCAGTTTGATTGACTCCATAAAGAAAAAGGTAAAAAAGCAGATGAGTACTGCAATAACCAGAACCCTTTAATCTTTGAGTTCTCAAAGCACCATGCAGCTAATTCCAACCAAGGAAGCCAGAAGAATTGCTTCTTGCACTCATTAGCTTCTCAGGGCTCAGCCTGAGAACAATTAAGACACGCAGCTCCCGCCCTCCTCAGAGGAATCCAGAATTAAATGAATCCTGCACAACCTCGGCTGTGCCACACAGGGCTTGTGTCAGACCCCAGCCAGGAGGGAACAAGCCTGAAACACAGACCTGACTCTGGAATTGTAACACAATTTAGGATAAAAAGCCAGCCAAGAGTTTTACCAGCACCTGAGCTCTTCATTTCCAGGAGATGGGAGCATTTCTCTGTCATCACCTGCTCCTGGGGTCAGTGCTTCGGCTGAAAGGAAAGCCAGGCCAGCATGCTTAAGGGAAGGCTCTGAGAGCTGAAAATCCTCATGCTTGTCCTTTGTGGCTTTTTCTAGCATGTGACAAAGAAAAAAAAGTCAACATTTCTTGCACTCCTGGCACAGATTAAGGACCTAATCCTTCATTAACCCCTTCTCTTCCATCTTGGATAGACACTTCTGCACTTTTGCAGCTTTTGATGCAACACTGCTGAGAGACACCCAGGGCTGCTCAGGAAATCCTGGAGTGGTCACTCAGAGCCTTCAGAAGCTCTCTCAGCAGCTGCCCCACTCCAGACACCTTTCTCCACTGAGATTCAGAAGACTCAAGTTAAAAACCCACAAGGAAACACATTCCCTACGTATCTAACAAGAGAAACGAGCAAGAGGCAGGCGGGCAGGTAAAGAGGAGCAGGAATTCCATCCAGCCCGAGTTCCAGCAGCTCCCACTCTCCCCAGATGTGTCACACAGCAAAAGCCAGCCTGGGGACAGTGCTGGCACCACAGCACCTGAAAATGGGGAGCTAAAGCCACTTTTAGTTTATTCCATGTCCTCTGGATACACTGACTGAAAATGGGCTGAGCTAAAACCAGTTTTAATTTGCTCCCAGTCCCCTGGAAAGCTCCTTTAACCGGACCAGCACAAGAGGCTGGAGGAACAAATCTGCAACTGATGGGGCTGGGGTGGGCATGGAGGAACTGCCCGAGGCAAACGTGACCCTGGGATTGGGGGATAACCCTGGGATTGGGGGATAACCCTGGGATTGATGGATAACCCTGGGATTGGGGGATAACCCTGGGATTGGGGGATAACCCTGGGATTGGGGGATAACCCTGGGATTGGGGGATAACCCTGGGATTGGGGGATAACCCTGGGATTGGGGGATAACCCTGGGATTGGGGGATAACCCTGGGATTGGGGGATAACCCTGGGATTGGGGGATAACCCTGGGATTGGGGGGTCCCTCGTGTCCCATCCTCAGGGCACAGGACCCCACACACAAACAGCCACCCAGAGCTCTCCCCTCAGCAAGCCCAGGGGCTTTTCTTCCAGCCAGCAGAGAAGTTCAGTCATTTTGAACAGCCCCATTAGCATAAAAAAGTGTCCAGGCTGCAGAGATGGCACAAGAGTTCCAGCCAGCAGCTCTCAGAAATAAAATAAGCCTCGAGCAATGAGAATTTTTTCTCAGGCAGAATGTAATTAGTGCCACTGCTGGAACCAAGCCAGCAGCAATCAATGGATTAAAGGATGCTCCAAGTGTTGTGATAGTTATTAATTTCAAATTTAAATTAGCGGATTAATATGGGATATTCCTTCATGGTGCGGCTGTGTGGAGAAAAATAAAGATATTAATATTGTACATTCTGTAATGAAATGGAGCATGCCACCAACAAACATCAAAAATGACATTTAAGACCTGATCAGAGGATCCACCAGCTCAGGCTCAGCACAGAGGAAGGGGTGGCACTCTGGGAAAGGGCTCTGCAAAGGGCATCCACAGAGTGAATTCCCACAGGGTGGAAGAGGCTGCCTCTGCAGTGATCCTCGTGGGATTTTCCAATGATATTTTTCTAATATTCCCATTATCTATAATAGCAAGGCATGGACCGTACCTCTTATATTATATATAACATAATATATATTATATTAGTAGTTGGAGAGCAGGCCAAGGTGTGGGATTTTTGGGGTGTAGCTTTTAGGGAAAGGGCTGCCCTGGGCTGCGGTTTCAGCGCAGGTGAGACAGAAAAGCTGACCCTGAAAGAAGCCACGATGCACAGCAGCTTCCCTGGAGCTGTTTCACACAAGTGATGTGGAGCAGAAAAAGTGCAAAGCAGCAAAAGGACAGCTCTGCCCAGGGAAAGGGAGAGCAGAGCCCTCCAGAGGGGGACAGAGAAAGAACAGAACTTGCAGCAGCGTGTTCCTCTCGTGGTTTTCCTCCTCTCCTCTCCACCCGTGGCTCTCTGCCATCAGCTCCAGGATGCCCTGGGCAGCGTCCCAGCCCCGGAGCCGAGCCCAGGCCCAACAATGTGCAGCACTTCTAGGGCAGTATACTTGCTGATTGCTTCCTTGACCATTGCTCACAACAACCAGCTAAGACACTGCCAAAGAAACACTCACAGCTGGCATCACACGAGGGGAAGCTGGGGCTGAAATCCTCCTCTCCTCTCACTCACACGGGGTCAGAGCCTGCGGACAAACAAAGGGTCAGGGAAGCAGCTGCAGCACTTCTGAAGAAAAGGCTTTCAAGGGATTCATAAATCAACAGACTCGTAAATCAACAGTTATCCTGTCCCTTACCCCCAAATCCTGGTTAGGGCCCCTAAGGATTACCAATATTAACAAGGGAAACCCAGCTGATTGTCCATAATCCGTATTTATCTCAATAAACTCCCAGGTGTCCCACAGCACCATGCAGGCAGGACAGTGGAACAACAAAGTGTTTCCAAATGCT